ACGAGATACTATGGACGATTATAGTCGCTTTATATAAAATATTACCGAAGTACCATGGACGATTATAGTTTCCATAAGATGCCACCGAGCGATTATAATCTCCATAAGATAGCACTAAGGTACTATAATCTCCATAAAATGTCATCGAGGTATTATGGGCCACTATAATCTCAATAGGATGCCATCGAGGTACTATGAGCGATTATAGTCTCCATAAGATGCGATCGAAGTACTAGCGGTGACTATAATCTCCATAAGATGCCAACGAAGTACTATGAACGATTATATTCTCCATAAGATGCCACCGAGGTATTATAGGCGACTATAGTTTCCATAAAATGCCATCGAAGTACTAGCGGTGACTATAATCTCCATAAGATGCCAACGAAGTACTGTGAGCGATAATAGTCTTCACAAGATGCCACCGAGGTATTAGGAGTGACTATAATCTCCATAAGATGCCGTCGAAGTACTATGGACGATTATAGTCGCTCTATATAAAATATTACCGAAGCACTATGGACGATTATAGTTTCCATAAGATGCCACCGAGGTACTATAACGACTATAATTTCCATAAGATAGCACTGAGGTACTATAATCTCCATAAAATGTCATCGAGGTATTACGGGAGACTATAATCTCCACAAGATGCGAACGAGGTGCTATGGACGATTATAGTCGCTCTATATAAAATACTATCGAAGTACTACGGGACTATAATCTCCATAAGATCCCACCGAAGTACTATAGCGACTATAATCTCCATAAAATAGCACTGAGATACTATGGACAATTATAGTCGCTCTATATAAAATATCATCAAAGTACTACGGACGATTATAGTCTCCATAAGATACCACCGAGACACATATATAATTTTCATTAAATGGCAACGAGATATTATGATCGACTATAATCACTTTCACATAAGATCCCATCGAGGTACTAGGGCGACTATAGTCTCCATAAAATGCAACCGAGGTACTACGGGCGTCTCCACAAAATGTCACGGGCGACTCTGCACAAAATGTCACCGAGCTACTACGACCGACTATGGTCGGGTCTGCATAAGATGCCGTGTGTCGATCGGAGTTATCGCGCATCGAGTATCTTTCTCTGGAAACGTAGCATCGATATTCGTTTTTATCGTCAATTTTTTTTCGATAAACACCTCGGTCGAAACAACTCGGTTCCCAGCGAGGCGTGAACGATGCTCCTTCTCGAGCATCGTGTGCACATTTTTGGCGGAGAAGTCGCCCGTTAAGAAAGGGTTAAAAAAAAAGAAGAAGAAGAAGAAAGAAAGAAAAAAGGGGGGGGAATTTACCTTGGGCAGAGGTGCTAGGCGTAGGTTCAGGTTCCCGTTTCACGCGAGGTGTCAGCGACTCAGGTGTGTCAGTACCATTTTCCGTTGGCTCGTCCTTTCTCGCGGACGACAAGGAGGAGGAGGTGGCCGGGAGGCCGGTCGACGCCGAGTTCCCGACGTTATTGCTTCCCACGTTGTTACCATTATTGCCCGCGTTCCCGGAATTTCTACCATTGTTCCCTGCCCCCTCGCTCTGAAAGTCGATACTCATCTTCATCTCCATCATCTCGGGCGAGCCCTGGACGAGGTCAGCCCCCGAGCAAGACTGCAGCTCCTGGCCGGAGAGCTCGCTGATCGGTGTGTCGGACGAGCCGCTCAGCTTCCTCGGCCTTCCCCTCTTCCTCTTTGGCGCGGATAAGGCCGAGCCGAGGAGCGGATGGCTCGACATGTGGTGCATCCTCTTCTGGGACACGTGGTGGTGGGGCCCGATTTGGTTTATTCTGTGTAGATTCGGCGGCGGTGGGGGTACTGTGTTCTGATTGCCAAGCAGCGAGGAGGTGATGCTGGGCAAGTCGCACTTGTCCTCGTTCACCTCGGTCAGGCCCTTTATCCTCAGAGATTCCGCGACTCTCAGGAAGGCGGTCAGCCTGTCCTGGTCGACGCTCACCTCTCCTCGATACATGAAATCCAAAAGGCTTCGCATGTCCACGTAGGGGACATCTTTCAGAATGACTATCGGATGCTTGTCGGGGTGGCCAACGAAAAGGGCCTGCGAAAAGTAAGCAGGAAGAGGAGAAAAAAAAAAAAAGAAAGAAAGGGAAGATTAGTATAAATTATATACAATATATACATATGGGGAAAGGGAAGGAAGGAATAATTAATATTGTTAATAATCGTTAATTTCCTCGGATGAATACGATCGCGGATGGACGCGCTTACCTGAAAGTAAGGGCTACACGCCGACAGCACCATCTTATGTGCCCTGAGTAGCTGACCCTCGACGGCCAGTGTAACGTCGACGAACGACTCGTCATGGAGTAGTTGGTCGAAAACGGAGAGTAGATTACTTTGATGATTATTCCAACGCAGACAAAACCTCTGCGACGCCATCGCTTCGCTTCTCAGATCCGCCAAGTTACCGTTAATGTCCGCTAACATCAGATCTAGTGTTGATCTTTTTATTGGTATTGCTGGTGCCGCCTCGTCGTCGCTTCTTCTCGCCTTCCTCGACGAAGCCGCTTGCTCTTCTTGCTCGTGCTCCTGCTCGTACTCGTGCTCGTGCTCTTTTCTTCATCGGCCACAATTTATCATATCCTTCCTTCTCGTGATCTACGCCATAATAAAAAAGGAAAAAAAAAAATTAAACCAATTAACCGATCGCAGAGGATAAATAATAATGAAAAAAATAAAAAGAAACATTTGTGCATGTATCGTTGGTTCAATTTATTCAGAATCGTTAAATCGATATCGATTTAAGATCTAGAGGATTAATGATATCAGAAGGAAATGTACGATGGATGATAAACAGTTCGCTATTTTTTTCCTACGCTGCGTGCCTTAAAAGGCGAATAAAAAAAAAAAAGAAAAGTTTCATTCGTAAGAAAGATTTCGTAGGAAAATCGTATGAGAAAGGAAATCTCTCGAATATAATTTGTTAGAAAAAAAAAAAAAAAAAAAAAAAAGAAAAAAAGAAAAAAAACAATCATATATATCCTGAATAATTCATTTGAACGATATTCGAACACGTTCCTACAAAAAGTGATTCACGTTAAATATATGAATCACTGTACAAATTACTAATCCACTTCTCGTGATTAACGTGCGCGGAAACGACAGGCCGATATCTGCATCCCGAGAGAATTCTTACATGGAAAATTTCTTAAAAATACGATCCTATCCGACTCCTCTAACCGTTCCACGTATATAAAATTATATATATATATATACATATAGTACAATACATAGGATAACGCTTGAATACATAATCGTCCATATAAGCTCGCGAGACGATACGCAAGAAGTATGAACGTGGGTGTACGACCCTGGAGGACGTAGGTTGGGCGAATAGGCGACTCGCTTGCTTCGTGCCTTTTATGTAATTCTCCCCTCACCCCTTCACCAGGCCAATCACGGTCACGTACGCAACGTTTGTTTCGACGAGACCGCAAAGATGCGACAGAAATGACTTTCCTCGGTCGGTACGAAGGGCGGTTGCTCGATGGCGTTGCGCGCGATCGTTGGTAACACGAACGGTTGGAAACAGGTACCCGCCGAATCGAGCGTCGCCCACGATTCAGGAGAGAAACGGGCCAACCGAAGATCGAAGAAGTAACGCTTATCGAGACCGTTGGCCTCCTCGATTACATTATTTCTACGACGAGGTTCGATATACCGTTCCATCGAATTAGAGGGAATCGATGTCGTGTGCGATTGGTAAGAAAACGAGGAAAAGAGAAAAAAAAAAAGAAAAAAGAAATCGAAGGAAAAAGATGCGTGCAAAGAAACGTAGCACGCAATCGTAACGCAGATAGCATAAATTATTCCTTTATACGTTTTTTTCCCCCTCCCTCCCCCCCTCCCCCCTGTTGAAAATTCTCGACGTATCGACGACATCATCCCCGTGACACGCGATGAAAATATTAACAGATCATCGCGCATTATTTACCGTTAAAAATTCTTTCGAGACGGAGAAGGCGAGACGAAATTCGCGTGGAAGGAACGGAGAAACCGGGAGGAAGCGGGGAAGGAAGTGAATTTTCAACGAATGATACGGAGGAGAGCGGAGGCGAAGAGAAGAAAAGAGAGAGGATCCTGCCTCCGCCTCCTCACGGTTCTCGCAACTATACAACGTGGAGAAGAGGTCGACGGGTCGGCCGAGAGAATCAATAGTATTTTCTACGCATTCGGATCGATACCGGGTTCCGTTGCTTTCGCGCGCAAATCTCGATATACGAGTGTATATGTACACGTATATATGTGTATATATATATATATATATACGTTCCTATGTACGCGATATGCAGCGTATACCTATAACGCGCGCGCGCGCGCGCATACACACACACACATTGTACGTGTATTCATCGCGAACGTTGTTGTATTCTTGTATATTCGGTATAAATACGCGGGATACCGATGCACAACCTTGCACGACCTTGTTAATACCTTGAATGAATGGTTTTCACGGTGAATGGCACGTCATCAGCATGGTGCAGCATGGTCACACAGCAATGTGATACATTGAGAACGATCGCGATCGAAGATTTCTGAAACGTCGTGGCGCGCGAGTTTCGATACGTAGTCGCCTCCCTTCGTCTTTCGACATCGACTCGACTCAACCTCGACTTCCCGATAAATGGATTACGTAACGAAATCGTGCAAACTCTCGGCCGTTTTATTAAACCGGCCGTAGAAAAGTGGAAGTCGCGGCGCGATCAACGCAGCCATGGAAATCACGATGGTATTTATCGATCTCCCCGCGTCCTTCGACCCTTTTCCCACACACACGCACACACGCGCCACTCTCACCTTCTCTCGTTCGTTAAAAACCGAAAACAGAGGGGGAAAGAGTCGGTTTCGTATAACGATTGCGTCATACGCGGTAAACGCGGGGAAAAAAAAAAGGAAAAAGACGAGGATAGACTGCGGTAAAAGTACGTTGTAATCACTGAACACGTTCCGTCTATTCCAAAACAAATTTTGACCCGTAATGACGAGAATGGTTTTAGAGATAGAGTTTACACGGAAAGAGAAATCGAGAAATTTGTCGAGAAGTTGTACGAAGTAATACTCGTGTTTACTCTGTCGAAGAATTATCTAACGTGATTACGTCAAAAATTATTGAATCAGCTGTAATAAGTTAATTCTTCCGTAGATATTATTAATAATCTGTTTGATAATAACTCGAGGAATATTTTCGATCGATAGTTTCGATCGAGACGAAATACTATAGATATCGCGAAACACGAAAGATTAGCAAACTTCTAGCTATTCAATGAACCGTGCATGAAAGTCGATCGAAGAAGGAAACGAGACGAGAGGGGATTGAACGCAAATGAAGACCGTGACAGTGTACACAATTGCGTTCCTCGAAAGGTGCACATACAACCAGCATCGAACCACCTCTCTTAGTTATATTTGTTTAGTCGCGCAGACACACGGATCGGATCGTGTTCGACCAGTTTTCGAGCGAACACGAAAAAACCTGACGCTTCTATACACAGGGTCGTCGCGTTAACGAAACGAAATATAAAAGTGGTCTCTTTCTTTCTAAATTGGCAATCGAAACGTCATCCTCGATCCTCGAATACTATTCAGGTTATCATACAACGGCCGGCTGTGGAAAATACGCTTCGTGTTTCTATTTAAGCAATGAACACTCTTCGCGGTATAATTAAGCCGTTAATTACTTCCTATCCTCCCGTATCATTCTCATTCTCATTAAAGGCGATATCATGATGTTCTAACGTGTGGAAGAGCGGTCTCTAACGCCGATTAACGAACGTGTGTTTCGCTCTAATAACGGGAAATCGAGAAATTCGTTGAATAGGAAGCACGAAAGCGAATCGTTGGGGGATCCAACGATCACCGTACACAACACCATTCGTTCGATCACGCGTGCGATCGTGCAACACGCGGACGATAAAACTCGATTAAACGATATTTACGACTTCTCTCTATCGAATCGAGTTGCACGACAAAGAGACTCTACGACGCGAATATAGTTTTGTCTCTCTATACCATTGAAACATTTTCATTCGATAGATAACGTTCGAACGAACGTTACGACGACGATTACGAATCGACGAAATGTTGCACAATAATAAATTACCAGCAAAGAGAAGCGGAGAAAAGATGGGAAGAGCGCACTCTGTCATCGCAATACGAACTTCGTTCCGTTATATTTCCCTTAACCATCACGGTCACCACCATCATTATCGACATCGTAACACCACTTCGAATTCTTATTTCGTCCGACGTCATCGTCGTAACCGACGACCCTATTGTTCCTAGTTTACACGCCTGTATGTATATTCATCGTACATAACTACAAAGCCGTACATAACTAAGCCGGACAAAAACATTTGCGTACTTGTATCGCGTTGCTACGACTAGTCGCACGGATACGCACACATTTATCCGCAGAGTACGTCCCTAGGAAACGGGGAGTTGATTTCGTCTCTTTCCAACACGTTTCGGTTTGACCCCGAAAACGACCGAGTTTCCTCAGAAACGACCGTCGCAACGACGACGAAAAGAATACGTCCGTGTATATCTTGTTACAAACGAAGGAGAAGACAGGACGGGACAAAGAGGATTCGAGGGCTTGTTGCGCGCGCAACGGAACACTTCACGGCACGCGTGCCTGATCGTAATTTGTGTTGTAAACAGTACAAGATGTGGGCCATCATCGATGACACCGCGAGATGTTGCGTTCTACACACGTTGCCGATCTATGCGCGCGCATGCGCACTCTAGCACGCGCACGAACACTAGTATAACCGGTAGCGCGACGACTAATCGAATCTACGCGCACATACGTGTTGTAACTACGAAACACTAACGTACACACTCGTGCACGCACTGCCTGTTGCTCACGCACGTGCGTGGCTGCACCGTGTTCGTATGCGTGTCACGCACACGGCTGCGCTACATTCTCGCGTTTGTGACGCGCACACGTCCTTAAACCGAGGATACATGTATGCGTTCGTACGTGAGTGTACGCGACTCGCTCCTCTCATGGCCACGCATTGCGTAATCAGCACCAGCGGCAGAGTCACGCCGAGGTACAAAACGAACGACAAAGCGCGGCAAATACCGCTGCGTTTCGAGAGCCTGAAATCCTCGCTCGTCCTCCCTGTCTCGCTCAGTTTCTCGAACTGTCTCTCTCTCTCTCTC